GATAGAACTCAAATCCGGCAAGTAGTGACCAGCTTTGACATGCGCTTTCAATAATACATTATAAGTGATGTCATTTGGAGAGACTCCTGAATTGGACATCTTATACAGAAGATTCTCTGCTTCCTCCACTCTACCATTCTGGCAGAGGCCATTGATTGCAACAGTGTATGTATATACATTTGGGAGACAATTCGTCTGCTTCATTAGATCTAAAACTTTCAAGGAGTGGGTGGATTGTGTAATTAGCATTTTACAAATTGTCTAATACAAATTGATAGTTTCTTGCGGTTCGATTTGTATGGAAAATTTTGTCCAAATTTTTTAAAAGAACATATAAAAATAGTTGATTAAATATTGATGATTTTTTGTTTAGCATAATATAGTGCTTCGAGGCACATACATTTCTTCTAATTGTATTTTTTATGATGACTGAAAAGAAAGCATTTCGACTTACTTTAGTTCATCAAAGTCATGACATTAAGTTAGATAATTGAATGTCGGTTCGTAAACCGATCATCGCTTACCAAGTGCTACTGTTAATTTTAATTAGATATGTAATTTCAAGAATATGAATTTTATGTGTTTTCAGTTTAAGTTTATGAGACTTTTATTGTTAAAGTTGAGTTTTCTCCATCTTCATATAGGTCATACGTTGGTGATCACTAATTCAAAGTGCGTTAAGGATATAGTTGTATCTTACAGTTTAATATGCGCGTTCATGTTCAGTACTTTATTTTTTTGTGTTCACAATCAATGTTCAGTTTTTCTGAATTGTACAGTGCCTTCAGGTACGGGTTATTGCTAGTTAAACAAATAAAAGGTCCATTTGATAGCATGACAATTTTTTAATTGCTCCCACCTCCTAATATCTGCAACTAATTTTACTTTCTCCCTCGAAATTAAACTCCAATTAGGTTTTTGTCAATGAACATATAACATTGCAATCCTACAAAGAGTAATAGAAATGATACACTCAACCCTCACAAAAAAATGTTTGCCTTGCTAGGAGGGTGAGAAAAAAGGAGGGATGGTGAGTCCATGGGGAGGGAGGGAAAAGGTGAGAGTGTCCTGTCAAGAGATTTAAAAAAGGAGAGATACATGTCAAGAGAAAAGATATCAAGAAAGCGATCCCGAGGGAGAAAGGGAGAAGGCTTGGGAGTGTCTTAGGGTCCACTCTATTTCAATTTAGTTTTTTTTTAGAAATCTACTATGTTTGAGTTTTGACCATCAATGTTGATCTTAAGATAAAATTGAATTTTCTTATTACTTGTGCTAGAGTCATGTTTTTTCTTGTTGACAAGGGGGTTTTGTTATAATTTTCTATCAGTGACCGGTTTTTATATAATTTGATTTGAAATATCGGGGGCTAACTATTTTTTTCTTCTTTTTTCTTTTGGAAAATTTATGTTCAGGACCCGTAAAGTTTATCACTTAATCGGACAGACCCCCTCAAGTATAATAAATTACACACGATCCTCTTCAACTATGTGCACGTGTTAGTATCCACGAACGACTCGTCAAAATTGCATAATGGCATAATATTATCCATTAATATTTCCTGAAATGCCTTTATTAGGTGGGACCACCAAATCTGATCGTTAGGGATTAATATGACCATTGCTGACTATTTTGACTATTAGAACCAGCATTATAAATTGCACCCATATTTCTCAACTCTTTTCATGCCATTTGTTGACGTGGTCTCTCTCACAAATATTGTCGAATATTTTTATAATTTTTAAATTATTTTTTGATATCATATTATCTGGATATTAACATTGTTAGGTTTATGTGTCACACGCACACATAGATGAAGGGGACTGTGTGTAATTTTTTATACCTGATGGAGTCTATTTGATTAAGTGACAAATTTTAAGGGATCTAGATGTAAATTTTCCTTTTCTTTTTGACAGAATTTGCCCTATACTTTTTCAATTTATGGATCTGAAACAAAGTTGAGAAGGAAAAAGCTCGCCTCGCCCAGTTTGAGGGAAAATCGAAAAATATGGTAAAGAAAAGTTCCAACACAGTTCAATTTTTTGCTTTTGAATGAATAATTTGATTTAATTTGAGGGTGGTGATTCATTCTTTGTGGGTATCCCATTCACAGTCGGCGCTATTTAACTTTCATTCGTTTCTAACGGTGGTGCTCTTGGTAATTTGCACATGTACGTTCTTGAAGATGCAATTCCCAGCACTCCTTGAACAGAAAACTGGGTAGGTCTATTCTTCTCCTTCGTAGACATATACACATCATATTTGTAGTTTTTTCCCTCAATGGGCACTTGATGGGTTGATTGTTTCTGGTGGAATTTTTTTTTTGATGGAAACACGTGAATTTTTTTATCAGCTACTTCCCTTTCAAAAGGTTTTTGCATCGAGAATTTTTTGTTGATTCCAATTTATGCACATGATCAGGGTGTTATTTTGTTGTTAAATAAGAATACTTTCGAGGGTCAAACCTGCTTTTGCAGATTGTTCATGTAAATTGGCATTTTAATGAAGGGCAGTGTTGTCTGAATCTGTTGCATACGAGTTATATGGTGGTGGTGTAAGAATATTGCAGTATTTGATTGTTTCTGTAGTTGGATATTATCAAGCTTGAGAATATCTATTAGTTAGAGAAAGCATGTAACAAGGTTTGATTGGTAATATACGACATAGATATATCAGAATGAGATATTTGTGGTGAAGTTGTATCATTGATGGTGGACAGGTGATGAAGATGTTTAGTGTGACAATGAGAAGAATTTGATTGTTTTGATGCCTTTTGCATCAACTTTGAGCTTGGGTAACCATCCCCAGAGTGGCATTAGTAAACATCGGTATTATGTTTGTTTGCTCCCCAGAGTGGTATTAGCAAACATCAGTATTATGTTTGTTTGCTGGTGTATGTTTCTCTGGGATCACATATGGTTGCTTATCATCACACTGAAAACCTTCGGAGGCAATGTGTGTTCCGAGTAACCAATGAGTTGTTTTCTACGCGGCCATTGATTCTCCAAGATTTCTATGCTTTCATCGTTTTAATATTAGAACAGTGTTAATTGTGGAAAATGCTTGCATTAGGGCATGAAGATTGTGTACCAGCCATTTTATTTTCTTTAGTACTCTGATATATTCTGATTTTCTGTTTTTCTTTTATTTATATTTTTAAATTACATTACCTCTAAATCAATGGCATTTTGATTAGTGTTTGTTTCCCTTTGGCAGATTTCGGGGTTTCTTTTGGAAGGCTGCAAGAATAGGTAATTAATTATTATTTTTTTGCATGCACAATCAGAATGCCATTTCTTCTCCCTTTTTCAATCATATGATTAGAAAAATGATAGTTTTTAAGGTTATGATAGGCTTGGTAGTGCCACTAGGACCCAAATTCTTTGTTTCCCACCAGCAAACATTTTGTGGAGGCCAAGTTGACAAACACCCCCACCCCACAAAGAAAGGGCGTGCATGTGTCCACCCTTCTATTGACACGCAAACTCGCAAATCATTGGAGCGCAAGTGTTGAAAATGAATGGTTTTGGTAAAAAAATTTGGTTTGCAGTTTTGGTTCAAAGCTGAAAAATTCAAGTCCGATAATTAACCAATGGTGTCTTTTGAGTGATCATCATTCATTTGCTAATGTGTGTACCTTCTTGGTGGGTAGAATGGCAAGCATGTTTCAATTTATCTCTAGTCAAGTCGAAGCTTCTTTGGTCTTTATTATGTTCTATACATGTAGCGGATCAATAAATAATGCTTGAAACAGGTGAACGTTTGAGCCCCTGGGTGGCTGTCGGATGCTTCACAATGGGCGTATCGATAATATTTTTCTGAGTGATAAAGAATTTGCTTGTAGTGATGTAGATTCACCTTTTGTTTCGTCCAGATAGCTATTGATTTGTGAGGCTCCAGCATTATTTGGATGTGAGAGGATTCTAATTTTTGTGCCTTGTAGGTGTGTAATCTTGTTATAGCTAAGTGTTATTTTTGAAAACTTCATGTATGATCTCCCTTTAAATTTGTTATTAAATCATCAGAGGCGGTCATGTGGATTGTTTTGCACGTTAATGGATAATGAATGCCCATGGTTATTTTTCTGATGTTTGATTGTTTAGAATTTATATTTTTTTAATCTTTTGCGTGTATGAGCAGTTCCAATGGATCTCGTCTGGTAAATTTTCCTGGACGGTCCAGAAATGTCATTTAATAAACTATTCGGATGATTCTGTTATACGAAAGTTCAAAAAACTCTTTGCTCTGTTTCTTGGTTTGCTGGAGGTGTCAAACTGTGCATCAGTTTCTAAGAGCATCTCCAAGAGACTATCTAAACCCTCCCCTTTAGCTATTTACATAGTTTTCCCCTAAAATATTGTTCCAAGAGACTAGTTAAAAGGTTATCTAAAGTAGATAACCCCATTTTTGCTCCATAGATGTAGTTAGCCAGTAAATCACTAGTTAGCATGCATTCATGTTTAATTGCTTTTCTCCATTTACATCTTATCCTTGGCCTTTTGATATATTAAGCTTCCAAATATTCATACTTGTTTCAACACATTGATTCAACACATTAAGGAAAACTCTGCTACTTGATTGGCACTTGAATGTATGCACTTGTCTCATCTTATAGGCGTTGTAAATATGACCGTTGAAAAATTCAAATTTTAAAATTTTGAATTTCGCGACCGTTGTAAATATGACTGTTATTAATAAAAATTAAAATTTTAAAATTTTGAAGACGTGGCGTAACACGTCAACATGTGATGTTATCAATATAGTGATGACATGACATATTAAATAGTATTTTAGATTTTATTATTGAAAATTAGTTGAAATAGTTAGTTAAAATAGTTAGCGTTGTTAGAGTGAGTTTAAAAAAGTGATTAGTTAAAATAGATAATATAATATTTAAATATATTTTGAGTAACTATTTTAAATAGCGAATTTGAAAAAGTAGATAGTTAAAATAGATAATATAATATTTAAATTTATTTTGAGTAATTATTTTAGATTGCCCTCTTAGATATGGTCTAAGTTGCAAGTCGTAAGATTTTCATGTTTGATGTCTGACAGTGAAGCTATTTCAGCTACAAATTCTCTCTCTCACCTCAATGATTCAAGCTCAAACAATAGCACTTTGACTGCCACAAAAGTTCCGTCTCCAAGCCGGCCCTGTATTAGTCCAACCAAAACCAAAAGTAATATCAAAAGGCATTGCCAAGACAAACTACAAATGTACATAGGGTAAAGAAGAAACTAATTTTTTGAGTCGAACCCATAACACGGCTTACCTTGTAAACAGTCCCGAATCCTCCCTCTCCAATCTTGTTGGATGAGTGGAATCCATTGGTGGCAGCTTTCAATTCTTTGTAGGAAAATACAGGGAAATTCTGGGTGGTTTGTCCACCTGCTTTAGCATTTGATTTTATACATGCTGACTGGTTTTATACATGGAAAAAACTGAATTGAAATGAGGAGAAGGCCAAAAAGACAGAGAATTTACCAGTGTTGTTCTTGCTGGTAGCCATGATATCTGATGCAGAGGAGAAACATATAGGGCAAGGGAAAGAAAACTTCACGGTCATACTATTATTTCCTCTGTGGAAACCTTCCCTCTGACAGGTTATTCCCATGATACTGAATATGGGTATAGAAAGCAAAATTTGAGAGAGAGAGTTAGACTTATAGGACATGAAAGAAACAGAATGAACAATTGATGGCGCACACGGAATTTGATCAGTTGTTGCAGGCTTAACTTTTTTTTTTTTAAATTTTTGTTGTTGTTTTTAGTCTCAATTTATTAATATAAGTGGAGAAAATCTCAAGAAATACAGCCTGGAAAACTTCAAGAGAAATCAAAGTTTTTTAGTATCTGAATCTTCTTCAACTAATCCCAACTTCTAAATCTACGAAAGGTGTTGTTTTCTCAATTTAAAATTAACAAAAAAAAGGGGGGAAATTCCATTTTACAACCGGAAAGATTTAAGTTTTTTTACTTTGACCCCTTAAGATGAGATTTCTCTTATTTCATTTTAGTGAATTAAAAGTGTTGTAATATAATCCTTTTATTATCGTATGTTATTTATTTCATCAAAATTCATCCTATTGACTATAATGAAATGATTAACGAAAACTATTAAATAGATCACATTGTAATAATTTTAATATATTAAGGGTATCATATAAAAAATATAATCTTTTACGAATGTAAATTTAAAAATTTTAAAACTTTTGGATGCAAAGTGAAATTCGCCATCAAAATTTTGGATGGTTTCTTTTCTTATTTTACTCAATTTTGACCAGGTCCTTGAGGGGGGTCGATAACGGAATTTCACTTACCGAGAAAAAAAATAAAGAAACTCTCTGTCCAAAAAGATAAGGGATGAAAGGCAGTAATTAAAAATATTTTCTCCAAATATTTAAAAAAATATAGGGTGACTAACGGTGCCACATAATAATGGTACAATTTATTTGACGTTATCTATATCTATATAATAAAATCGGATGAAACTTAAATTTTATCTCCAATATATTTTTTCCCTTAAATTAACCCAATCCAACCCATCTAATTTAACCCAACCGAACCCATCCAACCTAATCCACCTATCAGAACGGCTCCCTGCCAAAAACAGATCCCCATCTCTCTTCTCTCTCAGACGGTCACATCCCCAAATCCCCGGACAAGCAACCACGCCATGGCAACACACAGGCGGCAAGTCAGGCAGCGAGTCACTTCCCTCTGCGCAAACACCCTCCTCCCATCCCTCTTCTGTGCAAACACCTCCTCTCTCTCTCCCTTTCTCGAGCAAACACCTCCCTCTTTTGTGCCGCTGTCCAAAGCCACAGATCTCTCTGCGTTCTCTGCTCAATCGCACACACAGGGGTTCATTGTCAAAGGGCCTAAGTTTACGGTAAGAATTCTCATTTCGACTCTGCTCAATCACGTTGAAATATTTCGAGTTCCTCCAGCGGCTGTTGCGGTTGTTCCAGCTTATCTCCATCGACACTTTTCTCTTCTCTTCTCAGTCCTCAGTGCACGGTAAATTTATTTCTAATATTCTGAGATTGCCTCTTTCTTTGCTTCCACTGTTCTTTTGCTTTCACTGTCTTTTTCACTGAATTTTTTCACTTTTTATTTCGAGTTCCTCCGGCGGCTGCTTCGGCTTAATTTTTTCACTTTTTAGTTAGTTATGGGTAGCCGATAAACTCAACCCCAATTGGCCTCTTTCTTTCACATAGCCGCTTAACTCCTTCGACTTCCAATTCAGATTGATCTCTATCTGTCTGTATCTTCGGCATCTCTTTCTCCGATTAGGTAGTTCTTCTCTCTCTCTCTCTCGCCATACATATCTATTTGAGTGTTTTTGTGTGCATAAATGAATCAGTGTTTTCATGTTGGATCTGTAAACCTTTTGATAAATGGCATTATCAACGATGGCCTATAAACTGTTTGACAAAATTTCCCAAATAGCGTGTATATATTAGATGGGTGTTTGATCATAAATTAGGGGTTCTCTTATGTAATATTTTTCTGAACACTAACAATATATTGTTTGTGCAGGTCTCTGTTGCACCTGGGGGACGTTGGAATAGATTCAAAACCTATTCAACTATTCAGAGGACCTTGGAAATATGGGTTTTTGTGCTAACCTTTATTTTTAAGGATTGGTTGAACAATCATAAATTCTCTTATCGTGGTTAGTTTCTTTTTTAGACCTCTGCTGCAGTTACAAACTATTAAATAATGCTATTGAAATGGGTCACCAAATTACATCGTACTGTTTATTTTTTGAAAATGTATGTTGTCAATTTTTGCTTTGGAAGACATTGGCATTAACAATTCTAGCACTTTGCAATTAAATACATGTTAACGACATAAGTTTATTGGTGATTGTTGACCGTATGCACTTTCAGTATAATGGGTTTCTTTTGGGGATTTTGTTGGTTTATTTGGCGGCATTGAAAGGATTTGGTTGGTGGGTTTGGTCTGTTTTATATCTCTAACTTGCTGATACCCATTTCCTCAGGCTTTCATCTTCACATGGCTTTCAAGGCTCTGGTTATGGTACAATTCTGTGTGTGTGTGTGTGTGTGTTTTCTATCCCAAACTTTAGCATTAATTTTAATGGAGTTTGAAAGGTGTATTTTTTTTTTTTTTTGTGACTTATGTTGTATATTCCTAACACAGGTTTTTAGCATCATGTTTGTAGGCATACACGGTAAGTGAGCTTTGGCCATATAGGTTCCTCCATATCTTCACCGACCCATCAGAGGAGCAAGTGAAACGCAACCATCAAGGTAAATTGACATTTATGTTTTTGGGAGGCATTGGATATTTTTGATGATTTGTGTTGCGAATATGGAACTTAATTTTGAATTCTGTAGATTGGTTGAGCTAAGGTGATTCATTCACCGTACGAGATTGGGCGACACTAGCTATTTGAGGAAGCAAGGCCAGACCCTCCGGACAAATTTTGTCCAAGGTACGTCTTCGGGCATGAAGACCTCAGTTTGACCTCTTCCGGCCAATGTTCAAGATTAGCCGACGCTTCTGATACAAAATAAAAATAAAAAAGAAAACGAAAAGAAGAGAGTAGGAGGATTCTTTGTTTTGATGCCCCAACAAGATAAAAAGGTATACAAATGTCAAAGTTAATACTACTTTCTTGATCTCTTTATATCACTCATGGCACAACAGAATATGATTATTTTCTATTACTGATCAATTATTTCAAAGCAAGATTCACAATCATTTTTTCGATAGAAGAACTTGCTAATATGCTATCATTGCTGGTTACTGTCTAAGTTCAGCTCTAACTTGGGTCGCTTCAAAGTGAAGTCTTTGTTGTTTTTTTAGGATCATGGATGGCTTCATTGTAATTGCTTTGTTTATTACAAAAGAAACTGGAATTATTATTGTTAGATAGTCGCTCAAAAGCATTCTAACTTCATAGTACAACTCTTCTAATACAGTATAGCCTATGTTGGAAAAATGATACTTTCATGGCAGTCTACCAATCTTCATTGGGAAAAAAAAACACTAAAGGGTAATAACATTGTTTGCTTTATTACTAGAGGTCAATATCTCTCTATTCGTAATGGTATATTTTGATGTGGTGTACTTAGTTATAGTGGAAGTTTTTACTACTTATATTGCATTTAGGAGTTTTTCATCTGATTTCTTATATGTTTGGTTTTGCTAGATTTTGATTTCTTTGTTAGTTTATGGACTGAATTTGTATCAAAAAGAGCTATGGACACATTGCCGCCAACATCACATGATATTTTTCTATTTCTCCTGTCCAACGTCAAGATGAATTTCTTTTTTTTTTCTTTTGCTATTCTTTATCATTTTTTTGATTAAAGTGCAATAACATTCGACATTGTGTGTTCCTCGCAGTGGGTGGATTCTATGTGTACATTTGTTTTTTGGGATTAAAGTTCTCTGAGTATGATTTTTGAATATAAAGTAGGTTTTATATGTCGAGTGTGGCAATATAAACTACAACTAAATTTTTGTTCTTTTGGTGATTATATGATGATGTTTAAGGATTACACTGGCTCAGTGGCTTCTTGAAAGCAATGGAAAATTGAATTTGTTGATTTACATGGTGATGACTTTTATTTTGTTATTTGGGCCCAAGTGAAAAATGTTAAGGCTGGTTTGATGGTAACTATATCACATGCATCATAAGTACTTTAATCATCTTTTGCACAATGCTACCATAGTATGGTTTTTGCTGAGGGGCGATCATTTCCACTACTAGCATGGATGGAATGGAGGAATTTATATTGGAATGGGTGATTTGGATTTTTTAATAGCTTCCAACTTGAACGGAATGGACTGGAGACTCGGATTCTGATACCTTTTCGTGGTGGTATAAGACTAGCATAATATTTTTTGTTAAAAGACACTGAGTTCTAATTTTAGCTATTCTCTTGAGGCCCTTTACGCACATTAATATTCAATATTTGTTTATTTTTAACGTGTTTTTGTTAAGTGTTTGATTGTTTCATTTTTAAGAACAATGTCTGTTTTTTTTTTTTTGAATTACACAATTTCAGGCACGGATTATGAAAACAGTTTAGGCTTTCAGCTTAGTACACGTCCGAGTTCAGTGGTTGATTATTTCGTGCTCAAATTTAGTGCTTGATGTTTTTTGAATTGCACCGTGCCTTCAGACACGGATTATTCCTAATAATGCAATATAATATAACATTATTAGGGATAATCCGTGTCTGAAAGGACGGTGCAACTTAAACTAACCAGTTAATTTGAAAAAAATTACTTTAATTTGCTTTAATTAAAGAAATTAAAATTAATAGAGCTCTCAAATATTTTTTGGGGACTATTTTTTTTATTAAAAGGTAAATTTTATAGATTGAATCAAAGAATAAAATTATCAAATTTACACTTTTGGTTTTAATCCTTCAAAAAGCCTTGAAAGCATCTTTATTGCTGCCAGGGTACCAGACCTTACTTCCTAGTCCCAGCAACCTGCAACCAGCAACCAGACTGGACTTCAAAAACAAGAACAACCACAAAGCTTCACAGCTAGCTCCTCTCATTCAATCTCCATCATCCCCAAACTGAACTAAAACTCCTCCAAGCAGCAAAACTGCTAAGCATAAACACAGCTGCTTACCAACTGCAAATACATCATAATAATCCTCGACCCTAATCGTCAAAAGCCACCACTCTCGTTCTCAAAACAGGAAATCCCCTCAAGTTCTGCAAAAGCTCCAGTTTAATAGCACTTGGCAACCTTAGAGAACCCGAAAAATTCACAGAACATCTCTCCTGCACTGCATGGTTTGCCAACTTGTCTGCCACTGCATTCGCCTCCCTGTAAACATGATTTAATTCAAACTCTCCTCATGACATAATTCTCCTGATCTGCTCCAGACATGCCACATAAGACCAGGCACACTCATACCAACCCAGCACAGAATTAACAAGCACCAAGGAATCAGACTCAACCATCACTTTGTACACCACTAGCCCATACTGCTCCACCAGCTTTAAGCCATCCAGCAGTGCTCTAAACTCAGCAGCCATATAGGTAGAATCCCCATAGAAAAAAGAAGCAGCAAGCACAACTCTGCCCCATTCATTCCTCACAAAAACTCCTCCCCCAGCTGCACCTGGATTCCCTTTTGAAGCCCCATCACTGTTAAGCTTAAGCATCCCAGCAGGAGGACACTCAATTAACCCAGACGGCTCTCCTGACAATCTCACAAGAGACCTCAACCTTTAATTTTTGCAAAACATCCCTCCCATAATCATCTTCTTGGACTTTAGCCCTTATATTCTTTGTTTGATATCTCAATATACTGCAGATTTTCACGAAAATAGAATGAGAGTAATCTTCCCTCCCCAGCTAACAATAGGAGTCTAAGAAAATCTCAACTTGTCTACATAACTAAGAGTCTCGTGAATGCACAATACAATCAAATCTAAAATAAATAAATAAAATATTTAAAAAAAATGTCAATTGGCGCACATAATGCATTAAGAGACTGTACCCTAATATGCTAATAATTGTCTTAATCTTTTTTATTATCAATTTTTTTTATATAGTACCTTCAAATGTGGACATTAGCTAGAATATTAATACGAATAAATGATATAGGCAAAAATAGCAACATAGAATAATCCATAAAATTAATAAACAAAGAAAAAAATATCAAAAGTAGGTCCATATACTAATTTTATTATTTGACGCACTCAATTAAAGTTCAAACATAGCTCAAAGCCCAGAAGACCTACAGTCTGTGTATGCAAGCATGCCAAAATAGAGTAGCCACAGTGGCTCTATGTACTCTAGTTAAACAATGCAGTGAAATAAGCCATACAATGTAGTGATCTTCATTCAGTTTGTGTATGTAGGAATGTCCTAAAATCCCAATAAAAAAGATAATCTATTCGGGCGTCCTTGGTGGTTGTGGTGTGTTGGGTGCTGCCCAATATTAAAACTATATGAATCATATTGAGCTCAAAACCATTCCACAACCCACTCAAAAGCCAAAATGGGAAGTTGAGATCCGAATTGGACGATGGACTTGGAGCTTCTTTATGCACACACTTGTGCCCAAGCCCCCTTGCACTACACATTACCCAACATCTCCACCAACATCATCACAAACACTACCACCAGCACCCAATACCTCTAACCACAACCACTCGTCACGCAAGACCCCTACCACCACATCCCAACACCTCCACAACCACCCTCCATTAATCACCCAACAACACCCATATCCACACCCACCCATAACCTCAGCCCCTGCCACCATATCGCCACATTTCTAAGAATATATAAATTTTAGCAATGGAAATACGTAGTTCCAACCAACCAACTAAAACAATCAACTTTAAGATTACCAAGAATCCATATGCAACATTGGTTTAAAATGAAATAACTTTAAGCAGCAATGCATCATGTATATTGGTATTGTAAACTCAATATTATAATGAACTTAACTCAAAAACCTCGTAAACAATTCAAAAATGAAAACCTCTAAATCACTGGGTGGAGACTGAGTGAGGATAAGATCATCACTTCCATAACCAATTCAAAGTCAAAACTACAACTTAAAACAGAGATATGAACTAAATTACAAACCACCAAAGACCTAACCCGGGCTAAAGAACAAAACATCATCTATACCTCATTCTTTAGTGATTGAGATATTATTTGAAATGACCAAAAAAACATAGACATTGATTATCCATAGCTTATTGTTAGCTTTGGCAATGCATCCAATATAGGCACCACTTCATCTATCTCACACCCTCAAAATATGTAAATAACAATTAGAAGATAATACTTAGATGCAGAAGAGAGGCAACATAAAATTTGAAACTTTTTAGTGACAGTACAGTGGGAAGGAAAAAATACACTTACAATAATTGCATATGGGGAACATGAATATCAGTATATTTACCATGTATATAATAAACAACATCAAAGTCTTTAGCAGAGAGACTGGAACATCATAGTCCTTTTCTAGTTCTTCAGGCAATTGCTGGTGAATAGGGTCACCTGCAGCACAATTTTTCATTTGCTTATAAAATCGCAAAGGGCACCCTTAAATCTAAAATCCTCATATAATTAGGTCTCCCGATACTAAACTTCCATAACCAAAAAAGTTAGAAATGAATTGTTGAATTAGCAGCAACTAAAGGGCCCATCCAAATTATTCAGTGAATTCTCATCAGTGATTTCAGAGATAGAGCAAAGAAAATAATATGATGTCTGTACTCATTTATGGAATTTTAATATTTGTGTTTTTATAACTTTTCTCGAAATTCTATTTTATTGCTCTACGATTTCACACAGATATAACCATCTTGTCACTTAGGCAACAAAACACTACACAATAATATTTGTAATTCCTTAACTTTTCTCGAAATTCTATTTTATTGTGCTATGGTTGTACAGAGAAATAACCGTTTTGCCACCTACGCGACAAAACACCACACAAATTTATCACCATATCAGTATATGGTTATCACTCAGACAACTTAACAACATGGATCCTTTTCTCGATTTTTTTGAACAAATCGCATCACATCAGAAAAATTTAGCTTCCGTCGCTTAGACGAAATCAACTTGAACTTATTTAAATTATAAGGACAAACTTGAACACTTGGGTTACTTTTACTCACGTATACATCCTAGTCTAACAATTAGCTTTCATCCCTTTGACGTCTTAACTACGCAAATAAAATACGTCACTTAGACATCCGACGCTTTATCGTCTCAATCATTTGGTTTTTCTTTCAGCTTGTTACACAGACAACTAAATCATAATATTATAATCTGTCACGAAAACATCTTATTTCCCATGGCAACCTTAGAACACTTAAGCCATTTATTCATAGTAGAACTCATAAGTTAGACAGTCATATAAAAAAAATCAAACATTTACACATAAAATCAAATGTTAGCGTACATACGTACCTTGCTGAAAATTTACCGTGTTGATGACTCCTCTGTTGGGGCTTTTTGAGCAGCGTTCTTTACGGTGCTCGTCCCTGGACCTGACACCCATTATTCGAAATCCCATTCAAGTATTAATAAATAATACTATTTTACTAGAATTGGTTTACTCAAACCAAATTTCTTAATTTAATCATGTCACATTCAATAACTCATCCACATCTAATAATATCAATTACTCAAACAAATTAAACTAGTAATTATAATCAATTCGAGTCACATGAAAATAATCCATTCATAGCGAGTAAGATTACCTACTCAAATCCATTACATCCAAAGTAAACATTTCTCATAAAATTATAGTAACCAAAATGTAGTTAAATCTACATAATTTCCCAATAAAATCATCAAATTGCATGAATATGTCATACCCATGAATTTCATGAAAATTCAAGGACAATTAACAAAATTTCTAATTATAAATACCCAATAAAATCACAAAATTGCATGAAAATTTTATACCCATGAATTTCATGAAAACTCAAGAACAATTAACAAAATTCCTAAGTACCTTCCACACTTCAATTTTTTTTTTTATAACAATACTAACTTAATTTACACATCCACATAAATATCAAGATGTAACCTTCATGCAAAAATCAAACCTCATATCCAACATCATACATCGATATATAATATTTAAACACATAAAAAATATCATCCTTGAAATACATGCAACACTCAAAATGCCAAAATAAAATGAAGGATTTCTACATCTTAGAAGAAATAAAATGAATCATAATTCTTCCCTTGTATCCACACTTTATTATTATTTTTCTCTTCTTTTCTTTTCTT